ATTAGAATCATGAATCCCCAACAATCCAATGACTATAAGACTTTTCTTAATATTTTTGAAGATGATAATTATTAACTTTTGACAACAAATATCCTTATGAAAGTTATCATACATCTGTAAACAGTCTTTTATCAAATAAAAACAATAAAAACAATAATAAAAGACAAGGTCAAGCACAAAATCCAGTTATTCTTGAATTAATTTTATAAGAAATCACTATTAGATTTAAAGAAATAACTATAGAAGTTGCTGCTATCATCTGAACTCCTGTTTGTGAAACCAATTTAGTCTATATAGACACTTTTTATGAAGATGAAGAAGAAGACCCTTTTGAGTGGATAAAAAGTCTTTGATCATGCAGCCAACACCAATAATTGGTCTTCTAAATACAATATAAAGATAATCTTAAATTACTTATATAGAATTGTTACAAGTTGACATGATAGAATAAAAGATAATTTGATATATTGAGATAAAGAAACCTGTTCAAATAAAAGTTTTATTTAATTATTTATCCAATACTTTGTGATCTTTGAAAAATGATATAAGTGACAAGTCAACCTAAATAAACTAAAACAGCAGTTATTTGAGCAAGTAGATTTATATATATATAAGTTCAAGAAATTGTTGTAAAAAGTAGGTCTTAGAAACTAACTTTTTAGATTGTATATTATATGAATATTTTTAAGAGACCTTAAAGCTAAGACTGCTGTATGATAAAGTATTACAAATCTTGATAGTTTGGATATCACAATATAAGGTGCTCATAAAATTAAAGCTGGAGATTACTATAATAAGAAGAGTGAAAGAGACAAAGCATACAATAGTAAAGTTATCTGATTATCATAGCAAATGCAAGTACTAATCACTAGATATGAAAAGTTAACAACCACATTAACTATATATTTTAAAGCAAGACCCTAAGCTAATAATAATCACAATAATCATAGTAATCATATTAATTATGGCAATAGTAATACCTATCTGACTTGTTACAATTGTGAAGAATCTGGATATATCATATGTAATTGTATATCAAAAAGAACCCAAAACCAAAATTGGCCTTAAATGCAAAATCGAATAACAGTCTCAAGTTTATATGAATTATATTGCAATACTAACCCATATCCTTTCTTATTTAAGAGATGCTAATCACATAAGTGTAATCAATAAACAAGACAAAAATAATAATAAATATGAAGTTTTTATTACATCTACTATTTGTTATCAACTATACACTACTCAAAGACCAAGTTGCTATAGAAAAATAGCACCTATGCCTATTAATAAAGAATTTCATCCAAATTAGATTCTTGAAATTATGCCTGTCATGATCCTGTTAAGTGAAAATCTACTAGTAACAACTGTTCTAATAATGTTTGCTTTAGTAATATCTGTCCTAGCAGTACCCATACTAGTAGATCCCTCACAAGTACTTCATAGAAAAAAAAGACCTTCAGTAGTTAATAATCTGGAGCTATATAGCATTGTACAGGATTTGTTGAACATGAAAGCCAATATTACATTAAGTCAAATATTAAAATATTCTGATCAAAAACATCATCTGGTGAATATACTGAAAAGGCCTTTAATACCTGTAACAACCTAAAACTCCAAATCAATTGATATGAAAGTAATGATCTTATAAGTCTTTACAATTGCAAGAACCATCATTGCTCATTGCCATATTTGGATTAAAAAAAACTCTATAATAGCTATATTCAATTTAGGCACTGCTATCAATATAATGACAAATAAAATAGTAGAAAAACTGTAGTTAAAGATTAATAAACTTTTTACAACAATAGTTATTGTTGCAAATAAAGCCAGAATAAGGGTTCTTAGAAAAATAATTAACCTTAAGTTAGTTATAAGCAGTGTAGTGGTCCTAACTATGTTTCAGATTATTGAATTAACTGAACAGACCCTTCTGTTGAATATAAATTGGTTTTGTCAAACTGGTACCTGTTTACATGCTAATGAAAGAAAGTTGTATATGCAATGTCAAGATAAATTCATGGAAATACTTATGTTTTATAAAGAAAAAATCCTATCAGCTCCTTTAGCAATAAAAAAGAAGCCTGAAAAACTGAAAAAGCCAAATGATGAAAACCTGTTTGATAATTTGAATTCAATGATAAATATTTAGATAAAGTAGAAGGGTTCTTAACTAACCAATATAGCAAGTTGAAGTTGTATAATAATTTGTAACTTGATCATAAAAGTTCTACTGTATATCTGTCTGGTGTTGAAAGTGTCTCTGTAGTAAAAACTGAGAAAGAAGAAAAAAGTATAATCAAAAAGTTAAAGAAGAATCTTGATGACAAAGCCCTAATTAATAAGCAAAAGAACCATATGATTAACATATTTCATAAGAAAGTGAACATTTTCACTAAAATCATAGATAATCTTAAACAAGCATTGGCATATATTCATGAAATAAATACTGAAAATGCTCCTTCTCTGATTAAATAAATTTTCTACCATGCTATCCTAATATATACAGTTTCATAAAGATTAAAATTAAAAAGTTAAAAGCAAAAGATTTAGTTAAAGAAAGTATTAGCCTGTGGGTATCTTCTATAGTCATTGTGCTAAAAAAATATAATAAACTACATCTCTGTATTGACTATCAGAAGCTTAATTGTTACAAAAAAGGATGCATACCCTTTCATTATGTTGACAACCTTCTGAAAGTTTTTGGATCAGCTGTATAGTTTTCAATATTAGATTTGTTATCTGAATACTGGCAAGTTTGAGTAAAGAATACTAATAGAAAAAAGACTGTATTCATTATGAATTTTGGAATATACAAATTCATAGTAATGCCATTTGGCCTAATGAATGCTTTCATCATATTTCAATGAATAATGAATGAAGTGTTGGTCAAATTTTTAAATAAATTCATTATTGTGTATCTTGATAACATTATTATTTACTTACCAACATTCAAGAACTATACTAACCATCACATTACTGTTTTTAATAAATTAAGAAATGTAGAGTTGAAATTAAACCCAAATAAGTGCTTTTTCTTTAAATTCTACTTGCAATTTCTAGGTCAAATTGTTAGTAGAGAGGGCATCTACCTTGATGAAAGAAAAATAAAGAAAGTTCATAACTTTCCTATTCTTTAATCTTTTTATGAGTTATGAAATTACTTAGAATTAACTTCATACTATCAGAAGTTCATTCCCAAATTTGCTGTTATAACATGCCTCTTGCACCTGTTATTATGAAAAAATATCAAATTTGATTAGAAAAAGGATCAAGATGATGCCTTTAATAAATTAAAGCAACATCTCATCAATGCAATGATTTTACACTATCCAAATTTTAATAAAATGTTCATAATTCATGCAGATGTTTTTGGCTTTGGTCTAGGTGCCATTTGGTACAAAAAGACAATCAAGGTAATGAATATGTGATTGCATATGTAAGTGTAAATTAACCAAATCTGAAATAAATTACACTACTACTAAACATAAGTGTCTTGCTGTTCATTGAGCTATTGAGCACTTCCACCATTATATCAAGTTAAATTTTTTCATTATAGTAACCAATTATTTTGCTTTGAAGTGGCTTCAAACTTCTGCATTAAGTAGTTAATGAGCTTGTTAAGTATTAGAGCTACAGCTTTATAATTTTAAAATAATTTATTATCATAGATGTGTTCATAATAATGCAGATATATTATCTTAAATTAGAGAATCTCTAAATGAAGTGTGCTGTTGTACTGCTAATAAAAATGAAAAAAAAAGAATTAGTAAAAAGTGAGAACTAAATAAACAAAATAAACAAAAAAAATCTGGCATTGTGTAAATGAAATTTAGAACAAGTTACTGGTGTCCTGGCCCTTTATTGCAAAAAGAAAAACAAACAAAAAACAAAAAAGAAACAAAATAATAATAAAGTAAAATAAAAAAAAAAAAGAGTGAAGCTGCCTAAGAACAATACAAAAAAAAAAGATGATAATAAGTAAACAAATAAATAAATAAATAAATAAAAATAAAATAAAATAAATAAATAAATAAAGAGAAAATGTTTTTCATGCACCTGTGTGGCCATGCACTCCTTAAATTGTAAATAGTTTCACAGCAGATTACTCTTGAAATTCAGGCATCTAGTGCTCCAAACTTTCAGAACATTAGCATTAGGATTACAAATATTAAATACTGTGGCATGTCTGCCTGGGTAATCATCATGACAAAAATTTTTTTAAAACTTGCTTCTTAATGAATTCAAATTGGATTTGATTGATCACACAGATCAACCAAAATCTTTTGCCAATTATTACAACACTAATTTTAATTGGATGATTAAAATATCTATATGCATATCTGCATTTGAGTGTATTTACATTATCTTTTTAAAAAGACAACAAGTGGCAGATGATTTTTTTTTAAAAAATAAAATCAACTTGGTTATAATACTTTATAAATAAGAGAGAACCTTAATAAAAATTAAAGTGGTAATAAAGGAACAGACAAAAGCAACAAAGTAATTTAACCCAGTAACAAAGAAAACAACAAAGTATAAACTCAGTAATAAAGAATACACATGACAAAAGTAAAGCATATTCTACGACAAAAATAAAGTACTTATTACCTTACAGTAAAGGCTGTAACAAAGACAAATATACTTTGTGACGAAGATAAGGCAGAACTACAGCAAAATAAGGCAGAACCATGACCAAACAAGGCATAACCACAGCATAATCCTGATGAAAATAAGGATAACTACAATGAAGATAAATCTGTAATAAAGGTATGCTTAACAAAAACCTATTAACATATATTGCAAAAAGCCAAATTATATATACTAAAGTAATACTTAAATCTTTAAGTGTTTAATTGTAATGTTATACAATTTAGCCTCAACTGAAGTAAATATTTTATAGGTAATAAGGATGTCATAATTTACACTATATTAATGCTTATATTTACTTATTCTTTATATTTACTTTTATTAATACTATTTTATATACATTCTTTACTATAATGCATAATAAGAACAATGACTTGAGTGATCTTGAGCATGATGATAGGTTAATATATAATTCTGTAGTTACTGTTCAGAAAAATGAGAAGTCAGGCTTTTCTGAAGAAAAGTTACATAAAAAAGGGATATTTAAAAGTTGAAAAGAAGCATTAAATGTAATAACAATATATGCTCAACAAAAAGGATTTGGATTAAGAAAAGGCTGCAGTGAAAAAACTTCAAATGGAGTTATATGCAAATGAACAATAGATTGTGAGCATAGTAGTGAGTATAAGCCAATAAACAAGCAATTGGTTAAGGAAACAAATACCAAATACATGAAGTGCCTGTTGCATATAAACTTGTCACAACCAACAAAAACAATCCACATGGCAACATCTATATTACAACTTTAAGTAATACACATAATCATAGACTATCTCTTAATAGAAAGAGATTTTTTAATGGCATTGAATTTACTCAAGAAATGTGTGAATGTGTAGCATTTTATGTCAATGTAATTAAACTAAAACCATTACAGATTAAAAAAGCTTTAAAGCAAGAATTTCCTGATTATGAAATTTATCTTTTCAAAGTTCACAAAGCAACTGCAAAATTTTATTGTGAGAAGCAAAAAGACATTTCGAATGATGCTGCATCCTTATATGAGAATTTATTAAGAAAGAAGAAAGAAGATCCTTACTGGTATATCACAATTGATTGGGACAGAGAAACACATAGTCTCTGAAGACTGTTTTGGATGTCCCTTAATCAAATTATTCTTTGGATAAAGTTTAGTGATATTATTTTAAATGATAATACTGCTAAAACAAATCGCTATGACAAGGCTCTCTCACTTTTTTTATACATTGATAATCATGGGCTTTTCTGGTTAGTCAGATGTGCTCTTATAGATAATAAGTCAGCAGACTCTTACTAATAGGTTTTATATCAAATGAAACTTGCTAAAATAGTTGTGTACTTGTGGTTGTTATAACCAATGCTAATCTGGCTTTGGACCTTGCTATATCCGAGGAGTTTGAAAAATCTTATGCTATGCATTGTATTTTTCATATTTCACAAAATCTTCCTAGAAACCTTGAGGCCTAATTAGGTCAACAATATACTAAATTTATTAAGAACTTTTATATGGCTCAAAATTCACTTATTTCAAATATTTTTGAATATAAGTAGGCACAATTGACTAAAAAGTATAATGAGTCTAGGGTTATTAAGTATTTACAAACATATATTCATTAAAACATGCATAGATATGTGCATACACAGCTAAAGTTTTTACAGCCAGTATTCAGACAACATCAAGAGTTAAGAGCTATAATGCTCAAATAAAGCGATTAGTTTTAAACTCTAATATTAGTCTTATAGAACTTTCTGAAGCTTTAGAAACAAGTATAAATGAAGAAAGCAACAAAACAAAATATATTTATTGGAAAACTCAAATTCCATTAATGTCTTCTGTTATCATGTTACCACAAGCATTGTTTCCTGAAGTTGACAAAACTTTGAGTCATTTTCTTACATCTATGATGCTAAAAGTTCAAGTATTGAAGTTAAAAGTTGTTTAAATTATCAAGCATCCTCTATTACAAAAGCTGAGCTAATTAAATATCAAAAGGTATGCATTATACTGTCTTTAAATTGATTGTTCTAATTGGCTTGTTAAATTTACAGAATTTTTTATTTAAGCCTGAATTAGATACTACACAATTTATTGAAGATGACAAAGATGTAATGCAGGTTTCTGTAAACTATATGCTAAGAAATGTGGATGTTAATAGAATTGAGGAAACCTGGGCTATTTGCACAATTACAGCATTAAAATTTTGTTATTTTGTAATACTTCTTTCTGATAAAACTTATGTATGTTCCTGCTTAGGACTTGTAAGTCATGAAATAGTTTGTCACAACTTTTTTCAGGTGATGCTATGTAGTCCTATGGCTGCATTTCATATTACACATATTTATAAAAGATAGTATAATAATATTTATAGCAGTTTACAAGAAGAGCCCTATTATGTTGCTATGTGATTTAGTAAAAACTATCTTCAACACCAACCTGTGGAGCTAATGAGAGATAATACCAATAAATTGTTTACACCTATAGCTGATCTTCAAAATGAAAGAAAAGAGGATATTAGTGAACAAAAATTGTATTGAGAGCTGTGAGGGGTAGCACGAGATATTACACAAAGGGCAATTCAATTTTATTAGCATGACATTTTTAAAAAACTACAGGATTTATTGACTGAATTGTGAGAAGATGTGTTAGTAGATAGCTCTGATAATAATGATGATGAGACATACAGTAATGATAATGATAACTTAGATGACAATGTAGATGATAAAAAAAATAATTTATTAGCTAAAATATCTTTTCAAAACTCCAAAAAGTGTAAAGCAAAAGGATGCCCCAAAAGTTCTAAGAGAATTAAATGATCAGAAGAATTGAAACCAGCACTAGCTAAGCATCAGAATCAGTACAAAAATTGGGAAGAATATGGACATTATCGACCTAGATGTTCAAAAAAGTAATTAGATAGAGGGTGTGATTTTAATAAACCATTTATTTATGTAAAGATTTATTTTTTTCAATAAAATGGTTTATTCTTTTGTATTATTATATGATGGAAAGTTTAATTTTGTGATAGATATATGTTACTATAATCTTTATTATGAGATGTAATAATTCTGTAATTTGATGATTATTTAATTAATCATATGATTACTAAGTATAAGTTTTTTCTGTACTTATATTAATACAAACTGGTAAGTATATCTAAATTTTTCATGCTGAAACTTAAGTTCTAATCTTTGAAATTGTTACAGCTTAGGCCATAACTAGCTAAAACATATGTTGTAACTAGTTATAACATAAGTATAACAGTTACTGCATCTCTAGTATAAAGGCTATGCATTTACAGATTTTATGAATATAATCTTCAGATTCCTTCACAAATAGCTATAGCTTGTATCAAGAAAATACTATGTACTTTATTACATTAAATTAAAGTTTAATAATTTGGAATTCAAAAATTCTTCACTATATTGAACTTTTATTGTATATTGGTTAATTATAGCTTTTAGTTTTAGTTTAGTTAGTGATTTTATTGAAGTTTACAAGATGTATATATTATATTTTTTGATGTTTAATATAAAAATATTAATATTTTCTAATAATAAAAATTAGCCAATCATATTAATATAAAAGGGGTGCATGGTTATGCAGGTGCGTAAAATTTTTAAACCCATAAATAAAAATAATAAAAAAAAAAAAATCAAAAACATTAAATATTTTAATAAGTAGTAGCAAATTAGTAGTACAAAATAGGTATATAAATATATATATACATATATATCTAAATCAATAAAATAAATACAAAAAAAAAAACCTATAAATATAAATCCTGTTCACTATTGGCAATTGAAGCAATATATAGAGAAGCAATACCTATCTCTAACTATCAACCAAGCCTAACAACAATGAATCAAGAAGAAAAGTGTCTTTTTTGATCTCAAAGATGGATTCTTGTATAGAAAAGACTGAAAAAATAAGAAAGGCTATTACAAGTCCTGCAACAACATAAAGTTGACCCAATTTTGTTCTTAATGCATATGCATCTACTAGGTAAATATTTTAACAAAGATATTATATTTGAGAAGATCTGTGGTCCTCTATATTTGTTATCAGTAACTGTGCTCTTCTATAAAATTGGGATAGATTTAGTTGGCCTCTTGCCATAAACCTTCAAAATAAATTGATGCATTATTATCTTCACTAATTATATGATCTGTTGGCCTAAAACATGTGCTATGTGAAAGTAAATGCCCAAACTATTACAAAATTCATCTATAATAATATAGTATGTTACCATGGGTGTTCAAATCAAATCTAGTCAAATTGTAAGACACACTTTAGAAATGAACTAATAAGGCATCTGTTAGAAAACTAAAAATTAAGCAAAGTTTCTGCATGCTATACTACCCCTATACTAACATCCTAGTTGCATGCTTCAACAAGACCCTATATGAAGCTATTACCAAACTTATAAAAAACATTGTCAATTAGAACTTGTTAATTTACTTAGTACTATTCATTTATCAAACTGCCTAAAATTCTGCTATCTAAATGTTACCTTTTCTGTTAGTATATAGTTATAAAACAAAATTGCTTATTCATTTATATTGTTAACCTACAAAAACGATCATAACTCTTGAACCACTGGACAGAATTTGATGAAACCACTACCATTCGAATCAGCTCACTGAGACGGTTCTAATGAGGTATAGATCATCCATTTCCGATCACAGGATCACAAGATCG